TTGCCCAAAGCAGAGCTAAATGTAGAAAACAACTGCCCGCTCGGCGCACCACACCCCTACCGCCCCTCTGCTCCCTGCCGCCCCCAGGCTGGGCCTCGGTGGCCTTGTGGCAAATCCAGCCCTGCTCGCTCCCCTGCCTCAATCTATATGCTAACAGAAATACCTTCCCGTTGTTATTACATACCTTTTTGTAGACCCATGCACTGCTGGGTCTCTGTGATTCTCTATACCAGTGGTTGCGAACCTTGGCACTCCAGCCGTGCCAAAACTACAAATCCCAACATAACTCTGGGAGTTATGTCTGTGGCTGTCAGAGCCTTGCAATGCCTCGTGGGACTTGTAGTTCCAAAACAGCTGGAGTGCCAAGGTTCGCCACCACTGCTCTATACAGTGCAGGAAGATCATGCTTCAATACTCATCTCAAGAGCCCTCGGTCGAGATGCGGGCAGTGGCTGGCTGAGGAGAATGCCAACCAGATAGCAGGGGTGGCAGGGTTGGTTTTAATTTTTTTATGGTGTTTTTTTTTTTTACTTTTATTTATGTAATTATTTTTTATTGTAATTATTATCACTTATTATTTTTTACTTTTATTTATGTAATTATTTTTTAATGTAATTATCATTACTTATTATTTTTTAGTTTTATTTATGTAATTATTTTTTTATCAATTTTTTTTCACCTAACTTTATTGCTATCACACAGGAGCTAACAAGTCACTGTGTGATAGCAATTGGAGGTGACAGGTTCTCTTTATTGAACCTGTCACCTCCAATACAGGAGTTCTAGCACAGCACTGTGCTGGAACTCCTGTGACAGGTGAGAGAGGAGCACAGCTCTCCCCTCTCACTGTCAACAGTCTACACGGAGCTGCAGGGTTACTTTTAACCCTGCCGCTCTGCTCACCACTCTCCATACTGAAGACGGCGGCGAGGACGGAGCCAGGAGACGGAGCCTCGAGGACGCAGCATGGAGAGAGATAAGTGCAGGGGAGGGAGGGGGGCGGCGGGGGGACGGCCCGGCAGTCTAATTACAAGTGTTCTCGGCGACATTGCAGAGAACACTTGTAAAGAAACAAGTGATTTCTCCTATTCTACATTTAGTCCTGCTTTTGGAAAGCAGGGCTAAATGTAGAAAGTAAATTACCGCCCGGCGCCCAGAACTCCATGCTCCGGTTGTCGGGTGATTCAAACCTGTGCTGCCCCTCTGTTAAGTGCCGCCCCAAGGCCGGGCCTCGGTGGCCTTGCCGGGAATCCGGCCCTGGCAATAGGCATTCCTAGGAAAGTGGAATTTACATGATGACTGCCCTAGGTAATGGCCACATGTGATGCTGAGCCTCCATAAAATCCAATGACTGGAAGGGACAGGCCAGGGACAGTCAGGCTGGGGAGGAAAGGGTTGGACAGCTGCTGTATGTCCTCCATAGAGGTGGGATCTATCTGACTTGCTGCCGCTTCTAATGCACACTGACAGCAGATCACTGTGTGCATTGAAATCAAAGTAAGCAATTTAAGTACAGGAGAGGAGCCGGTACAACTGTGTAAGACTGAAGGGCGGAGTTCATCTTTAAATCATCTAAAGACTCATCATATGTCAGAATATTTCTCATCTCATGGCCTGGCCCAGTTACTGACACCATAATGATGGGTGCAATAGGAAAATCTCACCGGTGCCAAGGAACAATACTAAGAATCTTTACGTGTGCTCACAGCATATTTACAATTCCATTGATATGCAGTGAAAATGTTGCCATTCGTTCACTTAATTTTAAAGTTAGGCTCCATGAGAGCCTCCATCTTGGAGCATATATAGCAAAGGATAAGTTGGATGCAGATATGCCAGAGACAGCCCATCCCTCCCTAAAGGCAGCTGCCATTGTGATGTGCTGGGCTTCTGGTCTGTCACTGTGCCTTTTAGGGAGGGATGGGCTACCTCCAGGCATACCTGCACCCAATGTATCCTTTGCTATATATGCTCCAAGATGGAGGCTCTCATGGATTAGAATTAGGACCACACTAGACCGAGGGACCTTGACGAGGCAGTGTGGCTTCCAAATATTTTGCATATTTAACCCTAAGGCCTCATTCACATGAGAAAAAGCTGTCATGTACAGCTCCGTGCTGCATGCACGGCCGTATCGGGCAGCTCCCGGGAAGGACAGGTGCTGCGTGTGATTATTACACAGCCCCTGTCCTTTATGGGAGTATGCGGCCGTACGCCGCCCTACGCTCACCCCAAGTCCAGGTCCGTGTGGGTGCGGGTATCCTGGCTCGGACACAGACAGGATCCATCCTGTCAGCGTACGAGTACGAACACCCACACGGATGTGCAGGGCGGATGAGAGTAGGGCAGTGTATGGCCGCGTACTCCCATAGAGAAGGATGGGGGCTGCGTACTAATCACACGCAGCACCTGTCCTTCCCCGGAGCTGCCTGATACGGCCGTGCACGCAGCACGGAGCTGTACATGCCGGCTTTTTCTTGTGTGAATGAGGCCTAATAGTTAGACAGTGTAATCTATTAGTAAGTAGACATAAGTCACTGCAGTTTCATACCTTGCTGATGAGTTTGTAGTATGGGTGGTCTTCTCCCATTGGTGGTGGAGGGATGTCAAAGGATCGCCTCCAGATCTTCACCTGTTCTTCTCCGTGCTTTTCGGCTGTTTCTGCTTTGTTGAGTCCAGTCAGTCCCCCATAATGACGTTCATTGAGCCTCCAGGATCTGTGCACTGGCAGCCACATCTGGTCTGTGCCTTCCAGTATATACCACAGGGTGCGCACCGCCCTCTTCAAAACCGATGTGTGGCACACGTCAAACTCCATCTTTGCTTCTTTAATTGCTTGAGCTCCTTTTTTAGCCTCATCTCTTCCCTTCTCACTCAAATCGGCATCAAACCAACCACAGAAGCGGTTCTCCTGGTTCCAGGAGCTCTCTCCGTGTCGTACAATTACCAGGCGGTGGGGCATTGTGGCTGTTGAGGTTAAGCCTAATGTATGACTAATGTATGGATGAGTAAACTGTTCTATCACCAGGGGCTGATGTCCACTGGATGTAGGTTTGTATGATGGGAACAAACCAGTGGAGTAGTCAGTTGGATGTCCTGGTCCCTGAAATGGCCCCTAGTCACACTTAGCATATCAGTCTTATATACCCAGTGGAACACTATCACATTATCCAATCAGGTTGCAGTAACAGGTGTCCAATGGCAGCAGTAGAAGGGGGGGAGCGAACCTAAAATAGCCTTACAGTGACAGCTGAGGCTGACCTTTAACAGGACAACTGCAGAGATACCAACTAAAGGTCACTTGTACTTTTATGCTGCAAAAAGCATGCAAGCAATCACATCCATTCTTGACTTTCAGTCTAGTTGTACTGGACAAATCTGATTAAACGCTACGGTGCTTCTTTTTGCTCCTATATCTATGAACTAACAGTATTAATAAATGTAAACTGCTCCTGAATGTCCTTCGCTTCACCCCATTAGAGTTAAGGTCAGAGAAGACTTCTATGTACAGTTCTGACATTTCCATGATTTGGTGTTGACCTCAAAGCCCATCTCCGGGAGAAACAAAACTCCCATTGCAGTGGGGCTACCTTCGCACTGAAAGGGTTAACTGCTTGTTAATGTCTAGGGACCTTTAAAGGGCCTTTACTTACCTGATCCTCATTCGCACAAGTTTCAGGACCGGCACCCGCAACCTCTTTCCCCCCGCTGTCCTTGCAGTGGGACAGCCATCAGGTACAATGTAGGGCTCATAGACAATAGGCTGATGGACAATTCACAGTTCAGAGCAGAGGAGGGACGAGTGCTGCGGGAGCGGGGTTCAGGTAACTAAAAGTCCTTTTATACAGGTCCTCTAGATATAAATGAGCATTAACCCTTACAGAGCCCTGGTAGCCCCACTGCAAAGGTATTTTGGTAGGCTTTTTATATATATATATATA